TGTAGGAAAGATCAACCAAGAGGCATCTCAGTAAGACACTGAGGAGATTCCAAGGATTTTAGAAGTTGTGTGCCAGGTACTGGGGACAAAGACAAAATTATCTGTGCATTTCCTGTTGTACCTTGACTTTTTATTATAGAAGAGGATAATGTGGTCTGACTTTCCAGAGAATGGTGGTGTTTGAGAAGTGGAGCCTCCGTAAGAATAATAATTATAAATGGAGTTCCCTTTATTTGATACTCAGAATTAATTTCAAAAGACTCTCCCCAAAGGAATGCTATCTGGACTTTTTTATTTAATGTCTTTTAGCAAGATAAAGCATTTATTTCAGTGTTCAAGCAAAACGTGTTTTTAGTATGCTGTACATTGGGTATTTTAGGATGATCCTGTGGATAATTGAGTGTAAAGGTACAGATCATTGATTTTCTTACCTCTCTTTTAGTTAGGATACATAATGTAATTGGTATAGGTAATATGGTCATTGCTATAAAGACTACATTTCTTGGCATTTGGTCAAAGCATCTTCATTTTCTTAACATGCTTCATTTGGTGAGTATTCGACAATATAGAAGATACTAACAAATAATAAAGATTTTTAATTTAATTTTTCTCCCTAACCCTCCAGTGGTCACTAGATGGCCTGCTAGTATTGCACTTTAACTTGGCTTGTTATGGCATAAGGAAGTCAGCTTCATGCTGCTGGTTTTAATCTAAAGTGATATTTTAAATACTGTTTTAAAATCTACCAAGAACTTGAGATTTACTAGTGCTATAAATTATTTAAAGGTTTGTCTTTTTACAAAATGGCGATTTAGTGCTCTAAATGGATTTTATACCACACATAAAAACCAAATTTTGCAGCTCAGTTTTCAAGTGTTGCCAGAATGTTGTTTGGTGTTCATGCTCTGGATGCATGTAGTTTAGATAATAGAAGTTTAATAGTTATATGAAAAAATGAATGAGCCCTAGTGTTCAAGTCTGTAAAACAGATTTGGCTCTAGAGGAAAAAGTACAGAAAATTCTTAAAGGAAAAACTTACAAATAGAATCACTGTTTATGAACATATTCACACATATAGTATACTTTCAGAAGGTTAAAATGAGAAGGCAGGCAGGAGCTACTGTTTTGGTGTCATGAGTGTTGTTTGTCCTGCCTGCCAGTGTCCAGGTAAAAACAAATAATCTATCTGGACAAGGATATGGATATAATATATGTTAGATCATAGATTGACTTAGGTTGTATTTATTCGGTCAAGAAAATAAAAGTGTTTGGATATCCAATTTGCATTTTAAAATTAAATTAATATTTAAAATTCATAACATGTAAGTGTTTCTAGACTTGTAGGTTGTAGACCTCACCCATCATTAATAGTCATGTGTGAATTGTTCACTGGGCCCTTGCACAGGACTCCTAGGAGCATCCTTGAGCCCCTTCTACCCTAAAGTGTGGGGAGACTGGAGTTCTGCCGAAGGGAGGGGAGGTGTCTAGGTGTGTGAGAACTTTTTCTGGCTTGACTTGTGATCTGTTTTTTGTTTCAAAGGAAATTTGCTGAAATAAAGGTTTTTATATGTACAAA